ATAGGTATAAGAACCCTAGCATACGTGCAGTCGGAAAACATCGAGCAGCGGTCTTGGTGAATGCGGGCAGGTTCTACGAAAGCGATTTCTTCCGCGCGAACTCCTGAAAACAAAACCCGAACCCCTAGAAACTAAAGCCCTTCCCACAAAACCTGGGTTCTTTTTGAGGCGCGAGTAAAGCGGAAGGCTCAACCTTAAATCCCGCGCCTCCACCTCCGAGGTTACAATCCGCCAGCCCATGCTGCGCAAAGCATCTTGCTGTTGAGCGACCTCTCTGCTTGCAAGGCTCACATTTCGGGTTAAGGGGTTGAGGCTGGGCTCCCGCGATACTACAGGGGGCCTCAATGGCACATATCACCGTATACTTTGAAAACGACTATACGGGGACATCTTTTACTAACCTAAAGCAGGGCTCGGAATGAGATAAAATAATGCTCCTTCATCGTCCATAGATAGCTACTCAAATGCTATATATTTCAATATGCCCCAACAAGCCTGTTGAGGGGTGTTAAACCTGGAAACTTAAATTCCTAAACCCTTGAAACCTATGCTAAACCACAGGCCTTGAAAGCCACTGAGCTTCAGGCTGCAACAGCTGCCTCGTCACTGGTGGGCAGCAGCCAGCAGCCGGAACTGCTTGTCGTATCGGCTTCGGATATTGGGATTGGCGTGTATGGTCAATCTCTCTCTCTCTCTCTCTCGCGCGCTCTATCCATCCATCCATCCATCCATCCATCCATCCACTCATTCATCGATCTGTCTATCGATCGATCTATCTATCTATCTATCTACCTACGCACATACAAAACAGCTGCATCTACATATATATATGTGGCATATATGTCGTCCAACATTGAGTATATAGCAATATATCTACAAATACCTCTATGTATGTATGTATGTATGTATGTATGTATCTGTATTTAATTAATTAACTATATATATATATATGTACATGTGTGTGTGTGCATGTGCGTGTGTCTATGTATGTATGCATGCATGTATGCATTCTATCATGTCGAACTTACAATGTATAACATCGAACATTCACTTGGAGGCCATTGAGAGCCATGTGGCTTGTCGGGGCTAAAGTGGCTTGTCGGGCTAAAGGTGTTGTGACGGCTAGGATGAGAACAACAGCCCCCGGACCCCATCGATTTCAGCAGTCGCAACTGGGACAAGCCTGGTGATGTGACGGGAAACGTACCCTCCGTTTTTTGTAGAGCTTGCGGATGTGAAAACAAGATACAAGAAGAAACCAAATAAATAGAATGACGGGGTAGCAACAGCAGTAAGCACAATAAACAAGATAAGACTACGAGTAGTCAAGTACACTAATAGTAGCCACACCAATAGCAACTGGCAACGGTAATAGTAATAGTCGCAATAGAAAAAGACATAGTAATGGTAACCGTTTTCGCACTGGTAACAACTTGTCGTCGTAGTAGTAGTTTAGTAGTAGTCGTCGTCGTCGTCGTGGTCGCCTTAGCAATCGTAATGAGAAATATCAACAGCAGCAAAGCAAGAGCAACACGGAGTTTTAAAAACAAAATATGAAGACACCGATAGCAAAATGCACGACAATGGCCTAACAGCAAGCGGCTCTTGCTGGCCTTGGCTGGGGCTTAGAATTGAAGTCACCACTACGAAACGAACCGTTGGTATAGTTAGGGTTTAGGCGTAGTTAGGGCTAGGAGCTCACCTGGACCCCAAATGACCTACAGCACCTTGTCTTAGGACTCATATAAGAAAACCATAATCGTGAACCCGGAAAAGGGGGAGTTTTGTAGGGTCCGGACCGGGTTTCACTAGGGTTCAAAAGTCATAGCCAACAAACTCAGGACAGGCTCGCAGAGCCTTGAAAAGCCTCCAGAGGCGAAGCCCCTTGAATCCCTGACGTCAAAAGCATGAATACGGCAGCCTAAACCCTAAGCCTGAGCTATATTAACAGGTGGCATTACTATTAATATTATTGGTGTCATCGTTGCTAGTTTGGCTACGATTGTAATTACCATTTTGGTTCTGGTGACTACAGCGATTGCTATAGCTACCAGGGTGCGGATTGACAACGGCAGTACCACGCAAAGCTATTTCTAACGTGGCCATAGGTTGCTTCGGAGGTGCTTGCGATGACTGCGGACTACTTGGGACGGCAAAAAACTTAGCGACAATGGCAAACAGCAAATAGTGGGATCCTCAACCCTACACCCTAAACCTAAACCCTAAACCCTAAACCTCAAACCCTAAACTCTAAACCCTAAACCCTACACCCTAAACCCTACCTTGGCCCGGTCTTCGGGGGCTCCGGCAAGGATCCTCGGCCTCGCACATACCGTGGATTTGGGGTCCAGGCTTGCGAACATCAGGAGGCTTCAGGGCTTTGGGGTTTAGGAACTGTGGCTTTAGGTTTCGAGAGGATTAAGAGGGCAGGAAACTTCCGGGAGGATGGAGCACCTAGAGGCGTCTCAGAATGCGAAGTCTCCAACGGGGATTTCGGGCTTCGGGTCTATCGTTTTCTTCGGGGACTGCTGGCAGTTTTCTAAGAGGCTGAAGACCGTGTCGTGCGGCCTTTCAGCATTCGCACAATCTAAGCTCAATTACCTCTCGGCCTCCGTCTGCTTAGGGTGCAGCGTATTTAGCCTTGCGCTTGAGATGTCATGGAAAAGAAGCAGCATGCGTCCCAACCCGCCCGACATATTCAAGAACATGTCGAAAACTTGACAACCGAACTTCAAACCCTTATCAAGAAACCTGTGAACCCTAAGTCGCATGCACGCCCCCGCCCAGATGGCACCTAAATCCCAAGTCCTTACTCGCAAAAGCCAGCTACATACTCGTGGGTGGCTGACGTTGTACAGAAGCCGGAACACTTAACGACACTGTTCTTAGGGCTCCCTGTTCTTGGAGTTCCCCCTTATTTATTTCAGCAAGTGTACTCTCAGAATCTCTCAGATACCCCAAAAACCTATTCTAACTCTTCGGGACCCTTTCTTGTCGACTCTTCCGGGTTTAGGGTTTAGGGCGTAGCATCCGAGCTCCCTGCCCTTCCAAGTGATGACATTCCTCCCAGCTGTGCGAAAACGGTCCATTTCCGGTTTTTTCCCACCCACCGAGCTGACAAAGTCGCATTTGCGGTTTAGGTTCTAGGGCTTGAAGTTAAAGATCTGCATGCTACCACCCCCCTCCCAAAAAAACAAGGACTTGCCCGTTAAATCACTTATAGAAGGAAGTCATAACTGTGGAACCCTAGCAAGAGCAAGGTTGCTTGGGGCTTGAGGTAGGGCTTAGGGTTAAGGCTTAGCGGTTAGGGTTCTGAAGTTTCGGTTTTGGGGCTTCGGGTGTAGGGTTCGAAGCTTAGGTCTAACAAGGCCTCGAGGGCTCCGGGAACACAGTGTCAAATCCGACCTCTTTGTGGTAAGAAGTATTCTGGGCCTCGACAGATCGAATTATCCCTTGTACTGCATGCGCATAGCACCCTTCATAGTATATCCTTATAGAACCTCTTGGGGACTTCGAGGTTCCTTGAGGCCGAAATGTCGTCCATAGCAGAACATTGAGGATGTATCGGGTCACATAGTAATGAAATGGCACGGGCAGCAGCAGAAACAGGATGCTACAGGAGAGGCACGAATTCCGAGAATTTCTGCTTCTGCATATCCAGCCAGCAGACCTGAATGCACTAAATCCGACCCAGTCGCATGCCTCGGTCCTGGCTATTAGCCAAAGCAGGACTCTAAAAGCCTTTTGCAGCTGGGCTCTGAGTGTCAGCCAGCGATTCCGCCTACGCTCTGAAGCTCAGCACCCTAAACCCTGAATTCTGAACCCTAAACCCTAAACCCTGAACCCTGAACCCTAGACCATAGACCCTGAACCCTAAACCCTGAACCCTGAACCCTAAACCCTGAACCCCAAAACCCTAAACTACAAATCCTAAACCCTAAAGCTGGTCATGTTGGGACTGGGGAGGAATATGTAATGTGGCTGCTTTCTCTACTTAGGAAGGTTTTAGGGTGCAGGGCTTAGGGTTCAGGGTTTAGGGATGTTTAGGGATTCGGGATGTTTAGGGTTTAGGGAGGCTTACGATAGCACAGAGTCCTGCGGAAGCTCTAAGCCTTTGCTCCCTGGTCACTCAGGTACGTTGATGATCATACGCGCAAAGCTCGAACATCTGTAAGCTATAGAATCTAATTAGAACGCGGTCGAAACCTGTTAGCCTGCTTTTCCCAGCACAACACACACATATACATACCTATATTGGCCTATATCTTATATTCCATACATACATACATACCTACCTACCCACCTACCTACCTACCCCCTACCTACC